GACGTCAATATTTATACGTCTCTACGTTAATTTGACTCTTTTTCCACGTTATCTCACCTGAGGACAATGTTGTTGAATTGAAAATTTTAAGACACATAATCTACACCAATCTACACACTAACTTCAGGACCCCCTTGCCCATCTGCTGACATCCCTTTGATGTCATACCTGTACACAGGTATATAGGTGTATATTGGGCCTCCTGCCTTCGGCACAGGTGTTAAGTGTTATTTACCTGTACACAAATTTCATACCCAAGTATGCTAAGGAAGTGGATCGAGATGATTTTCATAATTTAACCAAGATTGTTAAATTAAAACTTGTGTATGCTACATGTATAGGGAGAAACAAAACAAAATAAATCTCATAATTCAATGATATTTTCGAAATAAAAAAAATATCTGGAATTAGATTATAGAAGTCCGTGTATCTAGTTTGGCATCGCAAATACAGGTATTGTATTGTATCGATCAAATGTTTGAAATGTCGACCTAACATACGGAAGACACAATGTCGTCGATTTGCCATTGAACGGTGATACTAAAAATCTTGACATTTAAAAACAGCAGACACCAACGTTGAAGTTATTTTGTAAACATTTTCACTGATATACTTCCGTATTTTTGGACCGTAGAGGTACCACAGTATATAACTTTTTTTCAATATAAATATTCCGGCACAGAAACTGGTCACGAAGTTGTTCTGTTCAATGACGACATGATTGGATACGTTCTCACTGCAGAGCAGAAACATATAAAGAATACACGTCTCTGTGTAGAGTAAAGAAAATGATTGCAAACTGACTTTCAAGCTAAAATTAAGAAATATCTTCCATCGATAACATTAAGACTATTTCTCTTTAATTTTCCTTAAACTCGTTCATTTGAAATAAAATATCACCAGTGCTCAGGTCGGGACATGCAATGCTGCCAGTCTATGTTATCCTATTCAGAGTCGTCAGTTTGGTTTCAATTAAACTCACTGTCTGGAAATTCTTGCAAATTTTATATAGCTGGACACCATACACATAATGTAAACTTCAGCATAACCTGATTCCTCTAAACTAAAACAAATGTTAATTACGATTATGCCAATTAGGAGAAGAAGGACAGGTGAAAATCGTACAATTAACACGTGACAGAGCCAAATTGTGGAGTAAATTGATAAATTGTGGAATTAGAGGATTTAAAAAAAAAAAAATATTTTGCTTGTATGAAAATGTAAAATCATGCGTGAAATTTAACGGCCAGCTGAGCGACCAATTCCCAAACAAATCCGGTCTCTTACAAGGGGAAACTTTGTCACCTGTACTCTTTTTCTTGTATGTAAATGATTTTGAAACTAATTTTATTAATGATAATTGTCCCAGTATTGATTTGCAAATTACTACTCTTTTCCTATTAATGAATGCTGATGATATGGTTTTGTTTGCAAATACTCCAGAAGGTTTGCGGAGGTAAATGCTGAAAAAAAAAAATGTTTTTAGAAACGGGGGAAATATAAGAAATAATGAATTCTGGATATATAATAACCATACTGTAGAAACAGGTAATAACCTTGTGGTCTTTACCTTCCAAATAACAATAGCCGCAGGAAACAGGGGTGACCACACGTTTAAACAATAATAAAGGTAAGGCCAGGTAAAAGCAAAGACCAGATGATAGTTGGGATTAATTCACTATTGTTTAGGGTAGTGAACTCAGTGTTTTTTGTACAATATACTTTTCAAGACGGTCAAGAGAAAGCAATAAAAAAACTTTGCTTCAAGACTGTTTTAGGAGGGAATTACATAAGTAATTCAGATTTCAGATTATGTTTTCATCACTCAGACAAATGAAAATGACTAACTTGAGGTACAACCCGGAATTAGATTATCTAAGTCCGTGGGTACAGCAATGAATATGATTAAGCGTAACAGGGTGCATAGAATGTATACATGTATGTTGTGTTGTAAGATGTATAAATAAGATACCTACAACTTACGCTCCGGCTTCAATATCATTCATATAAATACTGATTATAATTATCAAATAATACCACTAAAGAGAATATCGTAAGAATTATACTTGTTTGAGATATAAGTAGAGAAGAACGATTTTAAGAAAAAACAATAATTCCAGCATTTCAGTTAGATTTGTAAGATAATACAGGAATAATACTCTATGCAAACAGATCACTTCACTTGTTTTATAAATATGATGATATTCATATCCAGCATTTTCCAAACACAAGTTTCATATTTCATCTCCTTTTGAACATTTGCTATCGCCTCGTTTAAATAAAAACAAACAATTACACGTACGTTATTTAGTTTGGGTTGTTAATTATTTTTCGACAAATTGATTATATATTTTTTCAGAATTTGAGACAAAAATAAATAAACTACCCACTAGACGTATCCATATGTATTGTTAATGTCGAAGTACCATTGTTCAAGACTTTTCCCGTAACTTCACCTTTGAAACAGAGAAATTAAAAAAAAACAAAAAAAAAACTACCAACATAAATATACTTTTAATGTTATGAATTCATAAAAAAGGAATGTGTTTCGGCGTCGCGTAGATTGACTGATTAGATGTTAAATGTAATGTACTGTTGAGTTCCAAACGGATGCCATTAGAAGTGTTATTCCATTTCAAAACGAATTATCAATATTCACAAAAATCATCATTCTAAATTAAGTACATGCATCTCCCGCTGTGCAAACTACAGGTCAGAGTTAAGGTCAGAGACCGACACGCCCCCGTGAGCAAGTACATCTAAATAAAATACAATTATTGGTCTACTATGAACGGCGTTTTAGGAGCGTGTTTAATTAAACTGTTTGTGTGCGTTTGCGTTGATTTTCCGTTGCGTTTCCGTTGCGTTTGCGTTGCGTTTGCGTTTAAACAGAAAAGAAAAACGGTCAGAGTCTGTAGATTTTTCATGCCCAGCAATTTTATGTATTGTTATGGGGTGGGGATCTCAACTGTTTCCAAGCTGTGACTCAGAAATTAGGTCCCTAGGGTTGTGGCCGGACCCCAGGATCAATTATAATATCATGACTGCATTTGTCTCTTTTTGCCCAACATTTTTATATATAGTTTTGGGGTGGGGATCTCAACCGTTCAAAGTTATGACCCAGGCTTTAAGTCTGCAAGGGTTGGGCAGACCCTGGGGTCAATTCTAATATCATGGCTGCATTCGTCTCTTTATGCCCAACAATTGTATATATAGTTTTGGGCTGGGGTTCTTATCCATTTCGAAGTTATGACCAAGGCCGACCTGGAAGCATATATGCATTCATCTCTTTATACTCAGCAATTGTATATAGTTATAGGGTGGGGATCTCAACTGTTTCCAAGCTATGACTAAGAAACTAGGTCCCAAGGGGTTCGGTCAGACCCCAGGGTCTATTCTAATATCATGACTGCATTCCTCTCTTTATGCCCAGCATTTGTATATATAGTTTTGGAGTGGGGATCTCAACAGTTTTAAAGTTATGGCCCAGGGACTATGTATCCAAGGATGGGGACAGACCCTATGGCCATCCTGGAAGCAAATGTGCATTCTTCTCTTCATGCTTAGCAATTGTATATATGGTTATATGGTGGGAATCTCAACCATTTCCAAGTAATACACTTTTGTTGGCCCCATCCCTTAGCCCGGGGGTCAGCCCAACCATTTGTATAATTTTGAATCACTGCCTCCCATGAATGCTTCTGACCAAATATGATTGATATCCATTTAATAGTTCTACAGAAGAAGTGGTGTATAGCTAATCTAGCAAAATTGCCCCCTTTTGGCACCGCCCTTAGCCCCCTGGGGGTCAACCCCACCATTTGTACAATGTTTAATCTCCACGAACCTAGGGATGCTTCAAGTCAAATGTGGTTAAATTCCGATTAAAGAAATTGTTTACGGACGGACGACGGACGCCACGGTATTGCATAAGCTCACCTTGGTCCTTAGGCCCGGTGAGCTAAAAATGTAGGAGAAAATTTCCGGACAAAAAATCAAATACTGAAATAAACAAAGGGCAATCACTTTTGCACAAAAACGTCACATCAAAATTCTTTTACGGGAAACACAACAACTTCATATCATGATGATAATGTATACCAAGTTTCAAAGAGATCCGTTGAAAAATGTAGGAGGAGATTGCCGGACAAAAATCAAATACTGAAATAAATATAGGGCAATAACCTTTTGGAAAATTGTTGAATCAAAATACTTTTTTTAGGAAACACAACATCATATCATGATAATTTAGCCTACTATGTTTCAAAGAAATCCGTCAAAAAATGTTGAATCAAAATTCATTTAAGGGAGACACAGCTTCGTATCATGATTATAATGTATACCAAGTTTCAAAGAGATCGGTCGAAAAATGTAGGTGGAGATTGCCGGACAAACAAAAGTTTACGCCGGACGGCCGGATGGATAGACAAATCCATACCATAATACTCCCGTCAAATTTGACGGGCGTATAAAAACAGTCTGAACAAAACTATTCAAGTTTACTTGTAGTTATTCAATACTTCAAAGAGATAGTGTCCAAGTTAATACCACGTGGAATAAGACGTGTTTTAAGTTTGTAGCACAGATGGGGTTATGAAGATTAACTTTTCCAGGTTAAAGGCCATACCTTTCTATACCGTCAAATGTCTCTGATATCATGTAGCGTTTTATGTCGTGTAGATATGCTGAGTACTGCTGGACTCCTTCCGTATCATTGTTCGATGAAAACATATTTACAAATAAAGTCGATAACACACTGAATCATACCAAGAAATCAATTTGAAATACAAGCCAATTAACATTCAATATTCCCACATGTCTAAGCCTAATTTTAAACAAATATTTATAATATGAGTAAGTTTTAAACCGAAACGTACAAAAAGCATAACCATAATGATCGATATAGAGGATGGTTACGGCTAAAATGTTCAAATATTCCTTTTTTGTCATTGTAAACCCTTTTTTGTTATACACTGTAAATCTTTTCTCTTGTTCCACAGCGGATGACGGCAGCATGGTTTGCATTCCACGGGATTATTTCAAGGGCGATACACAACGGAAGGGTGGCGATCAAGTGGAGAAGTTGTCTATGAACCTCTAATGAGATGATACATAGGATATTGACCACAATCGTGTGAATATTTAAGCATGCATATCTAACGTGTACTGGGATACGGTTATTCATTATCCTATTGAACCTTGAAAGCTTGGATTCTACAGCCTAAACATTGTTTGTGTTTTATATATTGCGGTTCAACAACGATTTTTTCCCATGTTTTTTTTCTCATGGCAGTTTTTTGTTTATTTTTGTTTTATTTTAACATGAAAGCAAGCTTCAGGACGTTTGTATTTTAAAATTGAAAAACTAAATAACGAGACAGGTAAACAATATAAACAATGGTCGAGATAGTATTTTTTTTTCTATCCAAATATTTTAAGTGTCGACTAATTGAAGTTGTGTTCAAACGACTGAACAGGTGCCGTTGGAATTTTTCCACATACTTTTCAAATGAACGCCATATCATTCCGTCTTTGCGTATTGCAGAGTTATCTTCTCTTGTGAGCAGGGATTGATTGTTACGCCATTGGTGTGTGAGAGTAACGTCATCAATATTTGAGAAAACGACGTAATTTTCTAACACAAACCAATGACGTAACAATCATTAATACCTGCTCCCAAGAGAAGATAACTCTGCAATACGCAAAGACGGAATTAACCAGTGGGATTGATTTGATAAGACACATGTTCATACTCATCCTGTTAAATGACACTACGTCGTAATGACAATTGTTTTTAAATATCATTCAGCTTGTTTGTTGCTATTCATAGCAATGTGAGGCAAATGTCCCAGTGCCAGCCAAAATCAGCTGTTACACTGTACTCATGCATTCGTAAAAATCTAACCCGATAATGTTCATAATAAAACCTTTCATGCAAACCTTGCTTAAACCAAGTGGTTGGCAATCCGTCTTCAGCAGTGCGTGTTTCTACATTACACACTATACCTGTGTAAAATGTGATCAATGTGTTCCTGTTTGTTTAAATCAATCCGTCTTCAGCAGTGCGTGAATCTACATTACACAGTATACCTGTGTAAAATGTGATCAATGTGTTCCTGTTTGTTTTAATCAATCCGTCTTCAGCAGTGCGTGTTTCTACATTACACAGTATATCTGTGTAAAATGGGATCAATGTGTTCCTGTTTGTTTAAAACATTCAGCCTTAGATGCGTGTTTTCGATGCTGTCATTGTTGTGCCATTAAATAATTGATATAATCTTTAATAAAAAAAAACAGTCGAGAGATTTGTTGGGAATGACATTTCACAATAAGTAGGTCCTCATTTATTCAGAGAAACATATTTCTGTTGCATGTAGCACTAGTTGAATTTGCACCGTGACATAATTTTGTAATAGGTGCTACATCACTTGTCTACAGCTTGATTGTATGAGACTCTTTGAATCTGCCTCTAAAGGACGCATTGTTTTAACACTTCGCGCAATCATTTAAGACATGTTTTCAAAAACAATCCTAGATACACATGACGTACGGACATGATACCTTTTTTGTGTGTGATGAACCTCTCATAGCTTTTTAATGGCGGGAAATAACTTACATTTGTTATTACAATATAAATCCATGTACTAACATTTTTTCATTAATCAAATGCTACATTTTATTATATATTTTGTGGTTTCTATGTAATTTAATTATAAAACTTCTATTTATACCCGAAGGCGGTATTTGGAATGGTTTTATTACAACATTAATCACTAACTGTGACTTTAACTGTTTGAATTAGTTGTAAGTGTTAGTGTTCACTAAGCGATTACCCTATATTGGCTATTTTGTAGATAAAGATTGATGTACAAATATATATCAATTAAGTTTATTATTGAAAAAGGAAGCATAGTGAAGGCAATGCATACTTTTTGTGAATATTTTCATGTAGACTTCTTAACTGAGCATTGCTGTTAGCTGACAATACATTTCCACATATCAATACATTCTTATTTTACGCTTCGTCCGCACAGAATAACTAAATGTAAGGTAGTACAAAAGTGCCTCTATCAAATGAAATAGGTAGAGCACGAATCGATCTAAATAATTCGAAATAAATGATTGAAGAAAAACCTTCAGCAGTAATTCATTCGCCGACATAGATCACTCTATGCCTTTTCAATACCTGTATTTATTCGAGTGATCACCCTTCTAACATAGGATTGCTGGACAAAAAATGTAAAACATAGATGATATTGTACATTTTCTTTTCCAAACATTTCTTTTCTATTTTATTATTTTTGTGTAGATATATCGATTATAATGTAAAATCATTTTACGTTTTCGTATATGTAATTGTCAAAATGCAATGTCATTGAAGTTTGAATAACTATATCACATGTGTATATGTGTATCAGACCTAATACAAGGTCTCGTTGTATCTAACTGTATGTAATATGTAGTAAAATGATGTCAGTGATGAAATATGTATATTGAAAACAAGCATTCCGAAAATACGTTTATTTTTTCAATTGGCTTAGTATCTCGGTTTGCTCTGCATAAATTTCAGTGCCATAACTTATTATTATGGTCAAGCCTTGCTAATCTTGTGTTTAAATGAGAACACGTTATCCAATTCTAATTGGGAAAATAGGTGGCTTAACTATTAATATGATCATTGTTATGATATGTATAAAGAGGAAAAACAGCCATAATTTTATGTAGTATGTGAATATTAGCAATAAACTATGTTAATAAGAGTGTTAAAGTGCTCTAGTGCGATCGTGTCGAAGTTAAACGTTTCTTATTTTTCTTATCTTTAATTTAAAAACCAAGAAATAACATTAAGTTCACATGGTGTATATAAACTAGAGCATCTGTTTTTCTCCCGGTTTGATGTCAGCAATACGTCTTTGAAATACGTTTACTTATCTAAACAACTATATACTTGTTAGATAAGAGGTAAAACTGGCTGTTAAGCATAAATGATGTCGGTCCATTAAAATGGAAGATGTTTCTTTTTGTCGATACCAAGATTTAGTTTGTTGATTTTTCTGTTTTTAAACTTATATAGTAGGAGGAAATCTGAAATTTTAACTTAGGTTGTATATTTCTTTGAACGGTTTATTTGTGCGGGGTTCAACGACCTTGCAGCAGCTAGGGTCATCTGAAAATGGGTGCCTAGGGACACATCTTCGTAACGCACGAGAACGAAAGTGTAAAAAGGTATTATATGTATCTCAAACATTGTTTTATGCTATCGTAAGAGGCAACCGATATTGATCTAATGTACCCAGTTGGAATATAAATCTTATCTTTAATCACTTTCATATTCTTTGATTTCGGGACTGTCTCTCGAGGCATTAGTTTCCATATGAACGTAGACGTTGTTAATCTTACTGCGTTCTTTACGAAACATTGACACAGAAGAGCTTAGGACCAATTAAAGGTAGATAAAATACGCAAATGAAAATGACATCAAACAAACACAAAGATAAAAAGACAAATGTCAACTTGAAAATTAGCGTGGTAATGGTAAGTTATATATCTTTTTGAACAGACTAACAGTTTTCAAGTAGGTTAGAATGGTTGTGATATTTACTGTATGGAAAAGAGATTTGAGAATTATTGTTTTACTATAAAAACAATCTCAAGTTGTTGTTTAAGGTTGCAAAAGTTCTTCAACGACGTTTAACCGCAAAAAAAAAAAAAGGATCAATGTTTTGTACATTTTGATCTAACGTAAATACTCATACATGAATGGCATAAAAATTGTATCAATTATTCTGTTCATTATCGAATTTCTAATGAGTTTATTTCAAATCGGTGCATTTTATAATGAAATAGTTTACCTGAGTGTAAATGGTTGGTCAAAATCTTAACTTTAAAGTTGATTTTCACTTTTTAAAAGTTAGCTGGTGTAATTTAAGGATGGCCCATGCTAAGAGTTTTCTGGAATAGTGGCATTCGAGACATTGACATTTTGCTATTATAATCTATGAATGTAATAGATACTGTAAAAATGAAAATGTTCGCGTGTGGAAATGTTCGCGTTGCCAATGGTTCCATATAAGAAATGTTTATATTATAATATTCTTGAAGGTGCCGGTGATACATGTATCATATCGATTATATTTGTCCGACACTATATTCTGAGAGAAAGTAAAAGAAGAGTATTTCATCAAAATATTAAAAGCTAGTATCAATATGTCACAGTAAAAGTTTGCCAATATTGTAAATATTGTGATGTCACGTTACATCTGTAGTGTGATGACATGCAATTTTGACGTTATGACGTTGTCCTATTAAAAAAAACATGAAAAGTCCTATGAAGAGTGACAGCTGCTAGTTCATTTGATCTACATAATTTATTAACAAACGTCTGTGTGTGGATATTTTCACTATAATGTACTCCTAGTGAAAAAACGCAAAGATTTCCACTTTTATAGTATTATAGCGCAATTCAATAATGTTAATTGGTGGATAAAATCGACTCAGTGCCTCGAAGTTTATCATTGCCTCTATTGAATAATACGAAACGTGTATTGCCAAACTTAAGTTATATTGAATTTATTGTTTTTCTATTAAATGTGTTTTTTATCCCTCGAACAGTAACAAAACGCCTATGTTTGTTTTGATGACTTGATTCAATGATGTTAACTTATTAGACAGATTTTTATTCGTGTTTTCAAAATAGTTCTGTGATATCTATATATAGATATATTAGTGAATACGTTAAAAAAAACTTGTATTTCAAGGTGGAACACAGCCACATCAGACATCTTTCGATGTATCGCCATTATATACTGCTATTCCCTAAGACAGTCCAAATCTCCTCATTGCATCATTATTCCTAACGGAATTTAAGGATCAATTCTAACGGCTAAGATGTATTTGCTTTTGTAAGTAAAATGGCGTTTTAATGGTATGTAAAACAGTTACGATTATACTTAATGAAACTGTATATTATTTTAAGTGGGATGTATATACAATTGTTAATCTGGAAATTATGTAAAGGACATATATGTTCTGTTATGTATCGTTGAATGTTACAATCTATTATTATGTTATTGTTTAAATACCTTTTAGTAATATATCGTTTTGTTGATATAAGTGTGGTAACATTCAATGGCAAGTTTTTAAATAAATAATAAATATAAATAGTAAGTAAGTATTAATGGGTACTTTTTCTTCATGTTTGAGCTTTGTTTTAATTGTGGTTTGACACATTTGCAACCAATATTTTGAATAAAGAAACCACTTAGCAGGTGTCTGTTGCCGCGGGGATAATGGTTAATGATGGTAAGTGAATATGACAGTTTTAGATGTTAAGTTCAGGAGTTTGTTTGATAATGAACACATTGACAAAGTGTAAAAACATTGATTTGGAATACATTATATGACCTGACCAGGTTCAATAAGAATTGAGTAACTTTCTGTCTACCCTGTTATAACCTTTAGGTTGTTTCCTTGTGCCTTATTTGACAAAACCTCAGTTTTGCTTGAGTCTGAGTGTGTTGGTATAATTGGCCTGGATCTGATTCCGACTTTATATCACTTCCTCTCGGAAATGCCATACTGAAAACACGTTAAGCACGCAACAACAACTGCCGTTTTTAAGGACTTTGGTCCAGTATGGGGACATAACCCATTGTCTACACCACTTGGGCGAACGTTCAACATCAGGACCAAACGTGAGGTATCGCCAAGACAGCTGCTTAGAAACAAAGAGGTTTTAGGAAGTAGACAGAAATTATTTCAAATGTAGCAAAGGATGCAGCAGATTTGTTTTGGTCGCTTAAGTTACCAAGCCGACGACAAAAACCAATTCTCCAATTCTGCAGGGGGTTCCCATATAAGATGTTGTAGGTAACAGCTGGTTTATTCTTTTCTCAATCCCCGACCTGCATAGGTGTGTATAAGATTTGAATTCAACAAGAGACATAATGATATAAAATATTTATTCAGGAAAATACCGTTACATACTAAAGCAATGTAAGGGGGGCAAAGTAAATATTTTTATTTATCAAAATATGTGAAGATACAGTTTGAAATGATTGTGTAATGTGTTTAGTCATATATCTATCAAGTTTAACTAAAATATAGCTGGTAATTCCTTATAGGATTGGATAGTTTGATCTACAATGAGAAATACACGTAACACACACATATGTATTGAACATTTAAGATGTAAAAGATACAGAATGCCAAAGTAATGAGTTACACTGCATCATACAGCTGTCTTTGTAATATATGACTCATTTGTGATGCTTATGGCCCAATGTTGAAATCCAAATAGGTCTAGTCTTGACACAGCAGGATGTGCGTAACATATATGAATAAGAACAAGTAAAGTTCATATATTGAGAACCACTACTCAAATGAGATTACTGTGGCCATCGCGGTTACAGTAAACTTCAGAAACGAGTATTCCAACAGCAGTCTACCACGTTATATTTCATATGGACAACTAGATTGATATATACTATATCAACTGGACACACGAATTATATACCAATTGTTTGATAATAAATTGTAATGTATATTTCAACATCATATATTCCGTCTTTTCGTAGAGTTATCTGCTCTTGTGATTAGGTATTGATTGTTACGTCATTTGTTTGTGAGAGTAACGTCATCAATTTTTGAGAAAACGACGTAATTTTCTCACACAAACTAATAGCTTAACAATCAATACCTGCTCACAAGAGAAGTAAACTCTGCAATACGCAAAGACGGAATATATGCCAACATGTTAATTTCCAACGAAAGATACAAAGACATACGAGAGCAAAACGTTTAACATATTCTGTTCTGCTTCTTTAATAACTGTACAATCACAGATGATCATACTTATTGGAATAGAAAATATTTATAAAACCACATTGAATGTAAATCATGTTGATAAGTGTAAACATTACAATTTTTGACATATCAGATTTCCTCTTGCCGACAAGTCGGATACCATGCCGCGCTTTGATCTATAAGAAGACACGGAAGTGGCCGTTGTACTTTCCTTTGAGGAAGATGATTTCCGAAAGGTATCCGAGGAACTCGAAAGAGATCTTCGCCTGTCTCGTTCCCGTTTCCACTTGCAAAATATTCTCTTAAACGTGCGTCTAAATCGACTGCTGAAATAGGAATACAGTAAAAAATTGACAGAAGAATTAAATTCAACCAACAAGTTACACACATTTCCAGCGATTCGTAAGCTGTCACCATGCGAGTTGATATCATTGGCTGATATGTAGGCTTTGTACAGTAACAGGATTGCCCACGGAAGCTGGCAGAGAAGGAATATGATAACGACAGATATAAGCATTGTAGTCACTTTTTGTTGTTCTGTCGCTTGTCTCGTTGTTTCTCCGATGACGGTTGAATTCGACAATGTACGTCGGGTCTTGTTAGCCTTCCAAACAGACCATATTAATATGCTGTTGAACACTGCTAGCAACACAAGAGGGAAAAAGTTGAAAAATGCCACGTACCACCAGAAATATCCGATTTGATAACTGGATGTGCTGCCAAACCTTGTCGTCTGACATTTAAGTATGGTTGATTTCTCTTTACCTATATGAATGAATTCCACGATCTCTAGTTCAAAGAATTCAGGAAATGTGTTGATAAGTGATATAATAAATACACTGATAACAGCCAGTTTTGCTTTTCCAATGGTACACCACGCCTTCCCTTTCATTGGGTGACACACTCCTATGTATCTCTCCAATGTGAAGGCCACTGTAAGCCACACAGCAGTATTACCAAACAGATCGGAAAACACCCGTCCAAACGGAACGATGTAAAAGACAAATGTAAACTGATTTTTGTTTTCACAGTTGAAAAACGACAATAAAAACATAAAAATAAGATACATTGAATCACAGATTGCTAGGGCCATGAGATACACATTCGTCGAACTTTTCATCTTTGGACTCCTAAGAACGACTATATTGAAAATATTTCCCAGTACACCACATGTCACCAAAATTGGTGCTAATATATGCTGAGCAATAAACCTAGTCATCCGAAGTGACGCTGACGTGACAGGCATGCTATGTTCAGTTAAAAAACTGTCGTTTGCAGAATCCAGAAACGACGTCACATGCATGTTAAAAGTTTGAATTAATGAATCTACAGTACTTCCGGTGAAAATGGTTTCCTCCATCCTGGTTACATATGTTTCAGATTCGGTATTACCGATGTCAAATGTCACAGAACAGTCATTGGTTCTGAAATGAAAAAGAACAAAATTAATCACGAAATCCTTTGCTGCGGAACTACAAGGCTGAACATAATGTATAGGATTGGACGAAATTTTGCATTAAATCCGTTGAGATTGATATCCTGATGTGCTCAATGGAAAACTTTAAATGGAAAATCAACGGTCCTGATCGAACAACTGCTCTCATGTCAAGTGCAAAATTTTAATTGCCTTTAGTGACAGTTAAAGAAAAACAATTCCCAATATGATCAACAACTGATTTATTTTTTGTGTGAAATATAAGTCCACTGCGTACAAATTGAAACAGACAACCACGAAACGTAATTGCCACAACCAATATGGAAGTCGCTTGTTTGTTTGGTTTAGTTAGTAATTTGATTATTAACGGCCCATCAACACAAAAGGTCATTAAGGAAAATAAAAAATAAATTTCAAATGTAAAAGTTCATCAATCGAACGGAAAGACGAAAGAAAAAAGAAGAGAAAGTGGCAAAGGTTAGTTATAATTTTCTGAATAAACCAACAGTTTTAAGTAAATTAGAACTGTAGATAGATTGACTGTTTCACAATGAGATTTGAGATCTGTTATATCATTATAGAAAGGTCTCTGGAGGCTGAAGGTCAATGGTATCTAATAACAAGTATACTGTATATGGTTAGTGACATGCTATGCATTGAGGCTGTTTTTTTCCTGTTCAAGAAATAAGAATGGGTTTTGTACATTTTACTTCCTCGCAACAGTCAGGGGGTCACATTGTTAAGTCGCCAATACTTTAAATCACCCACAGATAATTTCGTTTGTGTTGTAGGGACCAGTTTCAAAATTACTATCTATTTAAGGATGTTCTGTTACATGTTTTAAAGCATTTGTGTGTGATGGTATGCTTTCATGGAAGCTGAAAGTGGTTAGGATAGTTAACTGAACGTTACAATGTAATTTGTAATTAAATTCATCACACACATCGGCAGTACTATGCCGATTTATTTAAAAGTGAGATTGTATTCGGACGTAGCATCCAAAATCCAGATACTTCGACATTTTGTTACCGAATGATTCGTTTAGGCAACTTGTAGCTCTATTGTTTAAACCGCTGTTTGGAAAGAAAAACCAGGCAAATATTGCAACAAGTAAATATAAAACAATTTGGTATTTTGGATACTGACAAGCATGTAGTACTGATAATTAGTGATAAAACTATCCTTCAATATAATCGCTTTCTTTTAAGTTGTTTTGATGCTTTAATGTAATTTGCTCGCAGTTTGAAATGTGTTATTACTTGTCATTTTCTCTTTCAATTTCTGTCATGATATCTTAAAACCCTTGTTATGTGTTTGATATCGCAGGATTCATTTTTAACAGACCGAGAAGATAATTAACCACGTCATGATGTTGCATGTCCATGGTTTAAATGTTCATTAGGTAGCGTTAAAATGTTATTATAGAAGATTCTATCTCGGAGAAAGACACTGCCTTTGGTGTAGTAAAGATCGCGTGTTTTTGTCACATTGATATTTTCAAAAAATGCGCGAGAGAACATAATTAATCATAATCATCGTTTGTGGAATGAAATATAACACATTAATACCTTGATTTCCTGTATCAAAATTAATATTTGGGTAAAGTATAGTCATTGTTCCATAACGAGCTTACCTTTAGCACATATCCTAGATAAGTTCCTTATTTTACCAGACAATCTGTATTAATGTTGTAACTAAAGGGAAATAACGCTTGTGTATACATTTGAAAACTTGTGCTAAAAAGAGCAAGTGAAATATTGCGTAGAGCTGTGTGAATGCAAGAAATAGTTAATCCCAGGTCTGTAAATGTTCCTGAACTATCAATTAGAACGAATCATCTGGATTCCCTCTTTGCCAAACATGCTTAAGAAAGGTAAAGAAAACAAGTATATCAACGATTGTTAAAGTAAGTGCTACGATGTGATATATAAATTACTGCGAAATAGGACATTGTCATTTCACAGTTACATACAAAAACAAAAAAACAAAAATTTATGTACGCAAAATGAGCTATTGGATCTATTTATCATAATTCATCCTCAAAGATAACATTTATACATGTGTTATATTAAGTTCAACGTTACGTGAAAATAAAAACATCTTGAAAATATACAGCCGGTACAGATTGCCCTATAGATCGTAGAGCTTAATGCACATCGAATAGCTAAATGAAAAACCTGATAATTACTGATGTCTGCAACTTTCACTTCAATCCACTGAAGTGTCACAATGTGACATGACTTTTTGTTACAGTGCGACTTCTGTCCCTATTATACAACATTTATCTAAAATCAAAACCTTGCGGGTCGGGGATTAAGAAGAAACATGCATACTCGTATTTACTGCATGATGTTCGAGGAAGCTAATGTGAGAATTCCCTGCTGAAAGCAATAAAACCATAACGATGTAACCTTTGCAAAATTTTGGAACTTCACATTTTCCTTCTACCCACTGTTTGTGTTCAAGCTCTCGGCTTTGCAATACCTCACCGTTGGCCTTAGTCTGGAACGCGTTCGCCAAAGTTGGAAAGGTAATGGGGTTTTCCCCAGAGACGGGAGATACCAAAATCCTTATCACAACACATATAAAACCCGTTGTCAATATAATGGGACCAGGTGGAATACTGTTCGTGATGTCTTCGGCATTGAATTTAATGAAGTAGGAACCCTGAAGTCAGCATCAGATTGCGGTATCGCAAGGAGCAAATACATCAACATACCATTTCAAGCACGCACACAAACCCACGTGATGACACGTTTTTAAATGACCCCTGATGTACATAGGACACCATCGCAAATAAACCCTCTTTGGTTGTATTTCATCTTATGAGTTATTATACATGGTGCTATTTCGGCCAAACGCAACAAAAGCCGCTTAGAATTTCTATTATTTGTCTTTTACAGATATGGTTTATTACCATTAGTGCACATAGGTCATGGATAGAAAGATTCATTCGTGGTAATGAAGATACTAGATATCAATTTGGTGATCGAACCTCAAGTGTGGTCAAGGCTATTGTCGATATCCTACAATAGTTTTTAGACTTGTACACATTTCACGGTTTATATGACTGAAGACGTTTAATGTATTAATATATCAAATGATAGGACTTGTGCAGAAGCGGACAATCAACTTAAGTAAAAGCAAATATTGACGAATGGATCGAAATTTCAAGTGCCAGTGTCTTTTCGTTGGTTAATCTCATGGAATAAACAACCTCCCATTGATTTAGAGATCGAAAGTCAAGGTTGTTGCTATCTATAAGGATTACGTTCGACCAATGATTAGAAATATAAACGTCGATACTCTTTCCACCGGACCACTTAGAGAATGATTCACTAGAGGTGTTCCGATTTATTCACACGGTTTCGATCGGTAAAGAATAATAGAGCTGGCCAAAACGCGGATGACGAGCTTCTTTATATTTCCTTTCTGCTAGATAATTTATTTTTGCTGGTATTCTTTAGCACATTGGATTTAATATTTTTCTAACAAAGTTCTTGCTGGCTGGAGACCTGGAAACACGTTCGTTTTACATTTATATATGTTCAAGCGGAAGGATAAACTCCGCTGTTTCCCTTGCGAATGACCATTTAGTATAATAATGATAAATAGCTTAGACTTTGAAGATGTTCGTGACTAGACCTTTTAAAATAATAATATTGTGTGACTTTCAATAAGAGGTGGTTTTTGGTGCTTCTTTATTTTAAACTTTTTACTTTCGAAGGAAAAAGTGGCATATACAACAAATATTGGCATGCGTACAATTTTTGCATCGATTGTTAGGTTTCATACGACATATAGTTATATAAGGATGCCGTAAAGGGATCTCGTATATTCATAGAAGTGACGAGTAACATGGGTCGTTCTGCGAAATTGCACCATTCTTCTTGACAACACAGTAGAAGTAGTTGCAAATCTATATTTGATTAGAAATTTGTAAATATGTATATATTGTTTTAATTTAAGAGGTTGATAAATTTGTTTGTGTTTTCAAGAACGCTCATCTGTAAATAATTTAGTTAGCCCATAAAAAAAACTACCAACATATCGTTCCCTAACTAATCCTTTCTACCTTTGTAAGATTGTGAGCATAGATTGAATGCGTTCTTAACGTATACTTCTAAAGGAAAACATTACCAGAACGTTTTGACAGGGAAAAATGGTGATTTCTGGCTGATCCATTGTCATCGATTACTGGTCTAGAACAGTGGCAGATATGACAGAAACAATAACCTGCTAATCTACAGAGTGTCGATAGCGCATAGCCACCCACGCGCGTTCAAAGTTCATGTGTCTTTTCCAATTAATGTCACGAATTCCGACACGCTCATGTCACATTTCAAATATAACACACAAATCAGTATGACGAAACATATGAATGAAACAGACTACCTTAAATGCTTCCGATCCGACACATTACCATTGAGATAAGGCACTGGGTGTTATGGGAAACTTGCTTCGGGTTTAATAGGATAACTGACATCGGTCAAGGTAATTTAGAATCAATTGCTAGCGATACTGTATTTTCGAAGGAATCTCTGAATACTTATATTTGTATTGGTACAAAACTTATTGTGTTCTAACCGGTGCAGGATCCTACTGCTAATCGTAAGATACCACTAAAAAAGTCCTCGCAGTAATGAAGGTCATAGGTAGATGAATGCCTTGGAGACGCATGCGAAAGGAAACACTTAGTAAGATAGAAATGTTGCTACAAGGGAAGCAGATCAATTTTAGTTTCATCATTGTCCGTTTATAGCAGGTTGTCAAGTGCTAATCGACAA